TGCGATCCCCTCCCCAGCGGGGATGTTAATGCATGCGGTCTTGGTGAACACTTTATCATGATTGTCACAAATGCGTTATGGTTTAGAAAGCAGCTTCATCGAGCGGCGACATGACTATCAAAATATGGTCGCTGCAGGACAAAACTTGCTTGCAGACTCTGAGTGGACATAATTCTGCTGTTTTCCGGGTACGTTTCTAATCTACTCATATCCGCTAATGTTTCTATGTGTATACATGACATAATGCGCGGTATCAGTCGTTCTCACCGTTTTGAAAATTTGTTTGCAGCTGTGTCAGATAGTCGAATCGTAGGCGCACTTTCTTATAATCTGTCTGTACTTTTCTACAGTTCAAGTTCACGTCATACACTTTATTTCAGATTTTGTTTGTAAACCACGGAACACAACTTGTCTCTGCAGATAGTGCAGGCATAATGAAAGTGTGGACACTATCCTCATCAGATGTCGAAACGACGATCGAGGCTCATAATGACAAGGTTGCATAGCTCTTGAAACAGTGCATATTTTCCTGCAACGCTCTACATATCCAGATCTGGGCACTCTTGGTTAACCATGATGAGAGCGAATACGTGACAGCTGGTACAGATGGACGGATCATCATGTGGAAAGATGTTTCTGAAGAAAAGAAAATTGAAGAAGAGCTGAAAGTAAGGAAACGTAAGGAGGAAGAGCAGGTATGTCTTTCATACGCGGTGTCAACTCAAATAGACTGCAGTATAATAATACTTGCGTGCTATCCCTTGGATATTGCAGACTCTGGACAACCTTCTCGAGCAAGGACGATATCAAGAAGCATTGGAGTTTGCTTTAGGGTTGGTGAGACCATTCTGTGCTTTGAAGGTTGGTACCATGTTATTTTCTTTTACTTATACTTCGCACTCTCTAGCTCTTTGCTCTTGAAACTTGCTGTCAGGGAGTACATCAGCCTTGGTATCAAAATCTATATGTTACAGGTAATCGAGCGACTGATTGATGGCGACGAGCTTATGTCTGCCATCGAAAAACTGGATAAGCAGCGACTACAAGTTTTGCTAGATTTTGCTACGCAGTGGAACACCAATAGTAGAACATCTTTGGTATGTTTTCGCATTTATCGCAGAATTTCCGCAAATGTGTAACTTTTTATGGGATGCTTTAGGCTCAGTTTGCGTACAACAGTTAAGCATTTATTCTGTGCAAATATTGCGTTCTTCTTTCAGCCAAGTCAGTATGTTGTGAACTGCATACTCAAACTCGTTCCTCCCGATGAGTTGCTGGAGCTTCCAAATATCAGATCCGCTGTCGAATCACTTATACCTTACACCAAAAGGTTTGTGAGCAGATTTTACTTTCCTGGTCTTTGTAGACTTGCGTCTGAAGAAATGACGTCATATCTGTCATTGCAGTTTATCGTTCAAGTAGTGATGTGTGCACTGTCTCTTCCTAGATGACAAACCGCGCATTTTGTAATCCTTTGTTTAGTTTTCTCGGGCTTTTTTTACTATGGCTATTTTCAGGCATATGGAACGGTTGAATAAAGTACGGCAAGATGTGTCATTATTGAATTTCACTTGGAATCAAATGCGTTTGAATTGACATTGTATGTTGTACTGTCTTGATGCGCTCATAGAGCAAGTATATATGATTGTTGACATTAGTTGTTGAGTTTTCTGAAATTTTCACGTTGTTTTCGAACATGGTTATTGTTTTTGTTGAACTTCTCCCTTATATAATGAAGATTTGTATCAGTGATGCTTCACGCCTCCTGTACTCGTTTGCCGAGTCGTATCTTTCGGTTGAATTAGGCGTTTAAATCATGACGTTTGGGATCTCATTACTTGCAGAGATGGCGGACGATTTACCAATGGAGGGCGCAGATGACATGCCGGAGTTGATAGACGTTGATCTCCCCGCTCAATTACCGTCCTTGGTCGAACAAAATCTGAAGCAACTCAGTAGCAATCCGGAGGGGTTCAAGGAATTTAAGCTAGTGAGTTTCTCTAAATTCATGCGGAAAACTTCTATTTTCTCTTCTTTTTCGCTTTGGTGAGCTATTTGACTTTTTGTCACTGCCACTGCTGAATTCCTCTGCTAAAACAAAACAATTAGGCTTTCTGACACAATATAAACAATTGCATTTTCTCATTACAAACACATCGTATAATTTATCATCGCTTGCATATGATCAAGGTGGTGGACGATTCTTCTGGATTGCTCCTAGTTTGCTTGGAACATTCCCAGTGCGTGAGAACTTGGCAGCATTTATATGAATATAAATACTGCCAAGTTCTCACAGTTGCCTTAACTCTTTGGTAGACGCGTTGAATACGACCCTTTCAGCACTAAATTCTTGAATCCTAACAATAAAAAAGTATGCTGCTTGATTACTTATCTACATCGTAAATATAGTTGAATGATAGTGTCATTACCTTATCTCACGTTTTTCGTCGCTTTTTCTCCCACCTACTCTGGCATCATTTTTTTTTTGTTATGTTTGCGAGATGATGTGGTTGAAAAGT